TTTCCGATCACCTGAAAATCGAGAATTTAAAACTCTGCTCAACGCCGGCCATTTTCGAGTCTCGGCTTAAATCACTCAATGAAAGCAACCTAGATAAGCAATCAGTCGCGCCCGGCGAGAGGGTTGATATGAAGCTCAACGTTCCCACCGAAGGGGGCTCAGACACGTCCGATGTCGAAAATTCGTGTCTTGTGCGCCTTGTTGATACCTCCTTGAAGAACTTTGAGAAATACAAGGACTCCGTGATCGACTTAAATAAGTATGCAGATGAACTTCTAAATAACCGTCTTACTCACTTCGGCGAATATTCGCTCGATTGTACAAAGGCAACTTTCGATGCAATCGGATTGGAATTCCGACATACGGGACCGTTCCCAAGAGCCACCGAAGAGCGCATCGCGTGCCCCATGTTTTCTGTTAATGCTAGAGGTCCTGTGGACTACAGTGTTGAGGATTCGGTTGATGCTGTGTCGAAGCCGCGGCTACGGGAATTCTTTCCAGAGGTTTGGCTGTTTGATCACATTAGACTCGACCAAGCTGGGCAATATGCAACACAGTTAACTGCGCCGGACAGCATCACTAGTTGGGAGTTCACAGCCCTCTGCTTCACCAAAGATCTCGGACTCTGGATGCCACCCAGACTGGAGCCCGAGGCAATCACCGTCTCACTGCCCTTCTTCGTCGAATTCACACCCCCAGTGAAGGCCAAGCGACAAGAGGTCTTGCATTTGCCTGTCAGCGTCTTCATGTTGTCGGCCAATGGAGGTGCAGATAAAAAGGCCTGTTACGAGGTTCTCGTGTCAGTGTCTGTGGACCCCAAGGACTGGCAGTTGATTGGCACTTCCGAATTCAGCACTTGCTTGTGTCAGGGTGATCCGAAGACCACATTCACACTGACTCTGAAACCGCAGAAGCTGGGGCGACTGAATGTGACAGCAGAGGCCGTGGCGAAGTCGGAATCAGCCATGTGCAGCAAAGGACCTGTGTCCAGCCAACAGAAAGCCTCCGTGACAGATGCTGTTCGACGTTCAGTTCTCATCGTACCCGAGGGCGTGGAAGCTGAGACGAATGTGGGTGGAGTGCTGTGCCTTTCCAATGGCGGAATGCCGCTGACGGAAGTAATGAAGTTGGACCTACCTGATCGCATAGTGGAGGGTTCACTGCGCAGCTATGTCTCCGTGAGCGGCAATGTGCTCGGTAAGGCCCTGAAGAATCTGGATAATCTGGTTCGCCTACCAACGGGCTGTGGTGAGCAGAATATGGTGAAGGTGGCACCGAGCGTATACGTGCTGAAGTATTTGGTTGCAGCGACAGACCTGCATGAGGCCGAAACCAAGAAGTTGGCACAGACTGCAATCAACTACATTGGCAGCGGCTACACAAACCAGCTCAACTATCGTCATGATAATGGCTCGTTCTCAACTTTCGGACAGTCGCACGGCGTCGGCAGTACCTGGTTAACAGCCTTCGTATTTGGCGTTTTCAGCGAGGCTGAGCGATTGCTACAGGCGAAGGCGCTCAACAAGTTGCAAACTGCCAACACTGATTTCTACCCCACACTCTTAACGGCCTTCGAGTTTCTCGGGGCAGTGCAACGTAGAGATGGTTGTTTTACGGAGTACGGCAGAGTGTTTCAGTCAGGTCTGCATGTCGCAGACGGTTCTCCGAAAGCAAAACTCCTGAAGGATCTCCTGCTAACTTCGTATGTCCTTTCAGCACTGGTTGACGCACCAGTGGCCTTGAAAGAAAGCAAATCCAAGCCGTATGCTAATACTATGGAGGCG